CATTAACACAATTTTTGTTGGTCCCAGCCGGGTCTACAAAAGTTTTAGACAAACAATTTGTAGAAGGGGGAGATGAATACAAACACAGAAAACTTTCGAATTTAAAACTATATATTGATAAAGAAAGATCAATACAGATTTTTGCAGATTGTATGCGGAAATAGACAAGGTAAAGATAACCTATTTAAACCAATCTAAGTTTACACACAGATATTCTTAGAAAAATAGAAAAGATTTGATGAAGGAAAGATGTTCTTCTTGGGTAAGAACTTTTAGAATACTTGAGAGGGATTTTGACTTGCTTGAAGATAAGCGTAAGTGTTCTTTTAGATGTATGCGTATATGCGTGTATTTTCTGCATGGAGAGAGCACTCATCTATTTATACCCATTGCATTAAATGCAATTCAGAAGGGTTTGAACACGCATCAAGCTTTTGGAGGAAAGTTTATCCTTTGCTACAGTGAATAATACAGTTGTCTATTTATGAGCAGACATCCTTTCGTGGAGTTGGTGGGAACTAGGTTCGACTAGTCGGCTCCGTACTGTACTATACTCTAGAAAGGGTATGGGTTTGTCCTATGTGTGTGGAAGGACAAGACAAAAACAATCTTTCACAACAAGCTTCGTTTGATCGCTGAATTCTGGAATAACACTGAAGGTCTCTTCAGCATTCGCTGAGGCTTGGGCAGTCTTCAGACATATGTTGACCAGGTTGTAATCACTGAATGTCGCTTCAGATCACGAACGCACCAGTCACTAATCTTCAGTTTCAGTCTTCGACTTTCACTGAAGGTTCTTTGGTGTGAGTTTTGTCTTCTCGAAATATAGATGTCGTTGTAGGATTTATAATACATGTTTCAGCGATCACTAAACAGACTCAGTGATTATCGCTGAAACTGAAAGAACAGAAACATAATACTTCGAAAGGTAAAAGGGATTATCATCAAATCAATGAGAGAGAGGATCAACAGGTTTTATGATTTTAATTCCCTAGTAGGTTTCAATCACTTGAGCAATTCCAGCTTGGCCATACTTATTTTTTCATTACAACACATAATTTAAATCTCCTTTTTCTATCATCTACAAATATGCAAATTGTGGCAACCATTTCCACATCATCACACATATGAATTGAAAGCTCTTGGTGGCAGGTTTACTAATAATTTCCTACCATGCTCATACTTTCAAAAGAGTTAGAGATTATAGGCTCGGTTCTATGCTTTAGTACTAAGAGATTATACAAATGATCATAAACAAGCATCAATCTCTCTAAAACCATTTCAACAAGAAAAATCTTATGCTAACCCCATAGGGACAAGAGCCCCTGAGTTGGGTGCAAACCCATTCTAGTTTAATAGGCCTTTCTTGATAAGTTTAAAGAGAAGAAGATCAAAACAAATTAGTGCATAAATATAATATAATTTCACACAAGTTTATGAACAAACCACTGTAATCAAAGATCTAAAGCAATAGAATAACTTACATGAACATATTTGTCCAACAAAAGATCCCATGAAACTAAAACAATAGATCATGGAACTTGAGCTGGAAATGTAAATATTTCACACAGATTGAGTTCCCAATATTTCTTGATCTTTAATAGAAAACAAATGTAAAACCAAAAATGTAATACAAACCCTTGGAACTCATCAACAAAATCACCAAATACAACAGTTAAAACACACCCAAATTCAGATTTCTGAAAAAAGATGAAATTTTTTTGAAAGAAAACACTGAAGATCTTCTTGATCTCTTGTGCAATCAAACTCATGATGGTTCTTAAATCTAAAATCTCAAATAAGAAATGACCACAAACACCTAAAATTTGATCAAGAATATGACTAAATAAAACATACCCAAATTCAGATTCCTGGAAGAAGGTAATTTTTTTGTAAGAAAACTCCACATATCTTCTTGATCTTTGGTGCAGTTAATAATTTTTTGAAAGAAAACTCCACAGATCTTTTTGATATGCTACCGTATGAGAGGAAAAATAATTACCTCGAATCGATCGTGGAATCTTCAAGAGGAGCGTATGAATTGAGAGGAGCGTATGAACAACCATATGGATCGAGTGTGGAAGAGAAATGATAGGAGGGAGAGGAGGAGAGGAGTAATCGTTTAACAACCCTAGGGTTATGAATCATGTTATAACCAGGTTTCAAACAACCTGAGTTGAGGTAAATTATACGTGATTATTATTTGAAAATACATAAATGGCATGCATGGTAAATAAATACATGAGTAGCATGCACATATGTGAACTGATGGCATGATGTGATTTATACATACATATATGTGGTGTGAAGCATGCATGCGTCTGTGATTATCTTATTAGAAAAATAAGGTGTAATTTTCATAATGAAGAAAGGTGATTTTTAAGAATAAAATAAGTTCCACCGTCTAAACCATTTTTATAATAAAAGTAAAATCCTCCACCGCCTGGAGAGGATATTTAAAGAAAGGGATAAGGTTCTAACCTTATCACTTTATGTTGAAAAGAAATTTATAGAGAAAAGAGAGAGCTTTGTGGCGATGATAAACAATCTTCAAGAAAATTGTTGATTCAAAGTTATTTGAAGATCTTACATTTTGTTGTGTGATATTATCTGCAGAATCGGTGTTTGATTAATGTGAGTTTTAATCTACAGTTTGATTCTATAAACTATCGGGTTTTGGTGGTCTGAGATTTAGAAAGAGTTTTGGTGAAACTGTTTCTATACAGTTTAAAAGAAATGTTTTATGATTTTAAAATTTGAAACTGTTTTGGAAAGATTGAAGCAAAAACTGTTAATTAAAAATAGTTTTGAGAATGATATCCTGTTTTAAGGATCTAAAGGGGATTAGATGATTTGAGAAATCGTTTACAAACAAATTATTCTTGGGGTTTAAAGAGTTTTGAATATAAACCTATTTTGAGACCATGATTGGTTAAAACCATGGACGAAGTTCACTCTGACATATATGACTTCACTCCGTCATTGGATGAAATAGTCTATAGATTTTGATTAAAACTATGAACGAGATTCACTCTAATAGAAATGACTGCAGCCTGTCATTGGATAGTTCGTAAGAATTTCAGGGGAAATAAGGGTGGTCGTTGTGTGTGATGGATATAGCTGTTGCTATTAAAGGGAATTTTGGATGTAATAAAGATGGTCGTTGTGTGTGCATGGTATAACTATTGTTATTATATCTTTTAAGATTACAACAGATTGGAGTTCTCACTTCTTGGTGATTTGAGAATTTAGAGATGTTCTTATTAGAAATAATAGTATTAATGTTATGGTTACAGGAAAAATATGGTCTATGGTCATTGGTTTGGTTAAAAGCATTTTTCAAACATAATGTTCATTTATTAAGGAATCAGAGGGGGCTCTGGTTGTTCCTTGAAAGGAACCAGAGGGGCTCTGGTTGGTCCTCATTTTAGAACCAACGGATTCTGGACGTTGCTTCAAGAATTTTGCAAGCCTTTACTAAAATGTCTAGTTGGACCAGAGGCTCTGTATATCTATAGATAAGAGCTTTTGTGTCAAAATCATGTTTTAAGAAGTTTTTAAGAAAAGAGATTTTATACTTAGTTTTCTTACAATAAAAGATAGACCAAAGGGGCTCTGGTACGCGGGTTGGACCAGAAGCTCTGGTTGGTCTTGCATGTGGAACCAAAGGCTCTGGTTGGCCTATGCGGGTTGGACCAGAAGCTCTGGTCATGCAAAATCTTTTCAAAAATATATTGTAATCATAAAGGAAGCTATTTTAGTATCAATGAATTTGATCTATGATATATTTGAGAACTCTCACCAAGTAAGAAGCTCTGGTTGGTTTAACCAAAAGCTCTGGTAGGGGAACCAGAGGGGCTCTAGTCCTCTTATTTATGAAATATTTTCTAAGTCTGTCTTTGGAACCAGAGGTCCGATGGACTCAAACAAAAATGTGATTTTCATCTTTCATCATATGGAATGGAATATTTGAATAAAAGTTTTGGTGATCTACACCCTGCATTACATGAAAAAGGGAATCTCACTAGACATTCATGTCTAACCCTCATTTTGTGTTTTCAAATATGCGTGCATGTAATGATAATAAGAGAAAGAGCATTCTATGATTATTTTCCTATGTGTTTAGATTTATGAAGATCATATATGGATGAGTTTTGGAGAATGGATATTTGACAAGAGCACGTCTTTTGAATTTTGTATTGTGTATTTTGTATCATAGACTCTTGTATTATGGACCTTTGTGGGCTTGATCATACGTTTTATGTATGAAATATATATGTTATATGCAATATATGATTTGGGGGTGTTACAAAGCGCCTGAATCGTCGCCTTGGAGATCGAATCATCATCTCTGTAATCGAATCGTCATCTCTGTAATATGTCGCCTTGGAGAGGCAGAGAGCGTTGGAGAGGGAATGAGCAGGGTTGATCGTTGTTATCAATGGGGCAAGTCTTGTGCTTGATAGAGTAGTACCAGATGCATTAGAAGTTGTTTTTAAGACTTTAAGATTATGTGCAATAAAAAGTAGTACCAAATGCATTAGATATTGTTTTAAGACTTTTGTTAAATCTAGTTGATAAGGTAGTATAGATAAAGATCTCTAAATATGAATATTTTCCTAAAAATCAATGTTCTTAAAGGTTGGTTTTTTGAAATAAAAATAAAATAATTTCTTTTAAATATATAATCTATTTTATGTACATTTTTTATGACAAAATGCTAAACACAACTTTGTTTTAAATGTTTAATTATGTTAAAGACAATTTTGTATTGAAAGTAAAGATTTTTTTATTACATAGATGCATTCTTAACTATATTAAATGATACACAAATAATCCAACCATTATTGTCCAAAATGCTTCCATAGACAAATAAAATAAAATTTAAAATCTTAGCAAAATTCCATGGGCACGTGCTCCTATGATCTATACAAATCTTATCATATACAGTCAGCACTGCAGGATGCAAAAAGAAAAAAAACAAGTCAAAGAAAGAAGTTGCAATAGAAAAAGACAGTTTCCTCCTTGCCTTCTTAACAAAATTACAATTTGAAGGACAAGATTGGTAAACCTTCCCTCTCCCTTCATAGTCTCACCTTCACCTCCATCCAACCTCTCTCTAAACAGTAACTACTACCCACAAATACAATCACAAGGAAATGACCCTTTCGTCCTCTTCTTTATTCTCTACACACTCAAAGACCATATACACACTTGAACTGATATAAAGACCCAAACCATGGCACATCTCATAAACAAGTTTTTAGCCTCTAAATATACAAAAAGAAAAAAAAAACTAGACATAAATGCCCCCCCTCTCTCTCTCTCTCATCAAAATTCACCTGATGCTTGCTAAGATCATTGGTTTTTCGATCTTTAAGCAACAGCGGAGATGCCTCGGCAGTTGAATCCTTCAACCCTCACTGCAGGATGCTTTTGGCCGAATTTTCCTCTGGCACAGCTTCCTCCATTCTTACGAGGTGATGGAGATGGCGAGGTTTCACAGGCAGGTGACAACGGGCTTGGGTTTTCGTTACCAAACTGAGCATCTTGGACAACTGGGTTCGATGCCCTACTTGGTGGAGACCCACAAAAGAATGGAGGTGATGATGGTATCAGATTGTTGGATTTCTCAACACCATAACATTCCTATAGAAAAGGGTGCATAAAACTTGATAAGGTCATTGAAAAGGATTCATACCAAAGAGTCTTCACATGACATTTTAGCATCAATTGACAAGGATTTTGAACTTTAATAGTTCATAAGAGGTGTGTTCGTTGTGTGTATGTGTGTGTATGTAACAGTAACACAAAAGATTGGAATAAAACATAAATGTTTAGAAGACTCATAGATTCACATTTGTGGTTGGGTCTTGAAGCAATATAACATTAAACACTCCATTAGATTATACTTAAAAGAAACTAACAACTCTAAAGTAGTTTCATCAAAGCTAAAAGCATATATGCTTCAAAGCTTTTTTACAAGCAGGGTCTTAACAGAAACAACCTTTCTACTCCTTGGGGGTGGATATAAAGTTTGCTTACATACTACCCCTTGACCCCGCTTTTTTGTGTGGGATTTTCCGGGTTCATTTGATTTGGTTTAGTTTGACATCTACTAAGGTGAACACTAAGAAAACAAAAACCGACAAGATTCATGTTATAGTTTCCAATGGTTTACCAATCAATGTCATAGCGAATTGTATGTGATGCAATAAAAGTTCTCGCTTTCTCTGTTTCTTGGCCATTTCAGAGCTAGAAAAAATGACTTTCCTCGGTCTCCTTTTGTTTTCATCATTTTCCTCTATTACCATTTTATAGGTCCATATTTAATCCTAAGATCAACTAAGGGGCCATTTACCAAAGGCTTACACGGTAAGCGCTTACCAAGTCAAATTACTTTACCAGATACACATGACAAGGATAGATAATTTTACCCGTTAAGACCAATGGTAAGGACCGAGATTCTTATCCAGTAAGTGAGGGTGACAACTCTTACCCAGTTAGTGCTTACCGGATAAATTGTTGTATGCGATGCTGTTTTGTTGGACCAAAATCTTACCCGATAAAACAAGTGATGATATTGAATGGCCCCTAAATGGGATTCATTGCCAAGATTCAATGTTTTAATTCAATCCCACAATTGACAAACCATGAGATCGAAAAATTTAAATATCGTGGAAACATTGATGGGTTTGGGAGTATTTAGCTCTAAAATGAATGGGATCCATGATCAGAAAAGTTTCGAAGTGATAAAAAAAGCTACTAAAATATTGTGCCCAAATTGAGGACTTCAAAATGTTTGACCATATAAAGTCAATAAGCAAGTTAAGTTAGCTTACAACCCCGTTAACAGTAGCTGTAGCAGAATCCGTGAAAAAATTGAACAGAAACAAACAAAATCTTGCAATGTCACTTTCAGATTAAAATATTGAACAGTCAAACTTAAATCTCATGAATCATGATGCGATCAAAGTGAAAAGTTCAGCTGTAATTCAATCTCAAATTAACCTAGTTCGATTTGGAAATGAAACACAACAGATTTTCGTTGATACCTTCGTCAGAATCATATCCAGAAGCTCCGTCCTGGCTTTTGATTCACACATCTCAGTTTGATGACTGTTTAAACATCAGAAATGAAACGGAATCAAACATCTGAAAATTAATCAAATGAAATTAAAAAAAAAGTAAGAACATAATTCAAATAAAATTACGAGTATACATGGGATAGTGGTGCTGGCATCGAGGAGATGAGGCAGCAATGACGGATTCTTTAATGGAAGGATTCAATAGACACAAACGACGAGGTTTAGGGCAAACAACGCCGTTCATCATCTCTCCACCCCTCACCAAGGCGTTGTTGTTGATGTTGTTGTTTTGCTGTTGATATGCACACCGATTCATCATCTCGAAACTCTTTTGATCAAAAATCGAGATCTGTATGCAAAATCAACAACACCTGCACACAGAAAACATAAATCCCAATTCATATAAACCAATAAACATATATACATGCGTGAGCACCATGTCGAATATGGAAATCAAATACTGTTCACAAGATGGAACCGAAAATCAAGAGAGAGATGTGAGTTACCTTGGTTGAAGGGTATTTATTCGACGCTTTGCAAAAACAGAGGATAGAGAGAGAGATAGAGATTTGATGGGAGGGAGAGAGAAAGGAAACTGGAAATGGGAGGTGGGAGGAGTATTCATAGAAAGGGGATGATTGGGAGAGATTTTTAGCACAATGTTGTTTTTTTCTGTTTGGGAAATCATTAACCTTTTGTATATTTCATTGTGTTTTTCTTAAACATTATAATTTTTATATTTATGATTTTAAAATTATGGTTTGTGTTATATTATTTGTAATTTATTGTTATTTTTATTTTTATAATTTATAATACAATGTTGTTTTAATCTTTGTAGTTTATAATTTTTTATCTTTTTATCCTACATTTTATAAGTAGGAATCAATTCATAATTAAAATAACAATAAATTACAAATTATATGGACGATAAATCACTTTTTTAAACCACATGGGCGAAAAACCATTCATTTCGTTGTTAAGAGACTGAATTATATTTTTAGTCCCTATAGTTTACACAAAATTAAAAACTGTCCCTAAAGTAAAATAATTAAATGTTCCACTCAAAATTCAAGTGGCTTAAAAGTTAAAAGGTTATCCAAGTCCTTGCTCTGTTAGGTGATCTTTCTATAACCACAAACCTTGATCTCTCTCTAGCTCCGGAAGAACCAATGCCTTGAGGAACTATACTATTCCTTCATGTTATTGGATTGTAATTTTGCGATCTATTTGGAGATGTTAGATTTTAGCGCCCAGTAGAACTATCAATATCATATACAAGACACCTTCATGCATTGCTTAAGATTTCTCCGAATAATGAGTTTGAAAAGACATTTTCGGACGGGGTAAAATTGGTGATGCAAAATCTGATCTCTCAACCAGGAGGAATGAGAGAAGTCTGAGTTTGAAATTTTGATTTTCGAAGAATAAACGTGTCTTCTGATGTTAACCTTCATTGTAATCATTTTACTTCATTTCTAATAAATGAAAGTTTCTATAGGGATGCGATCATGGTGTTGGTGAAGATGACCATTGGAGCTTGAGCTATTGATTTCGATTGCATGCTTAATCGTTGCGCTGATTCTTCCTGGTTGTTTTAAGGTGCAGTCTCTTTTCTTTTACGGTTTTGTTTGGTCTCTTGTTCGACGGCTCTTGTAGGTTTCGATCTAGGGCTTGTGTGTTGCTTGTTCTGCGACTGTCGATCGTGGCTGGGCGTTTTCTCTCCTGTTTTGGGGTTTATTTCTCTTGGTTTGGCGATCGGTTAGAAGGCCATCGGCGTTAGGGTTTGATCTCAGGTGGTCTGGATCGTTCCTGTTTGGAACAGGTTCTCTTTCCCTAGCGATCTGTTTCCTTGCCGGGACTACTGTTTGGTGGTATTTGGTTTCGACTTAGCTTCTGGCTCCATTGCTAGCTTGACCGACTATGTTGTTTGGCTGCTGCTGTGGGCGTTGGGATCTCTCGGATACAGCAAGTGTTTGTGCTGCGCTGTTATTTTTTTCGTGATTTTATGTGTTAAGTTGCATGGTTCTAAATTTTAATCGCTTTTGAATGCTGCTGTTGACCAATTTATTGGCTGGCTGTGTGATCATTCTTTTTCTGCTGCTTAGTTGTTTGTCTGCGGTTGTTTTGGGTTTCTTCCCACGCTGGTTTGCGACTGCTGTTTGGTTTCTTGTGCTGCTCGATAGTGACTGTTGGTGCTGCTTTGTTTCCACTGCTTGGTTTTCTGTCTTGGGATGTGTTGCTGATATTGTTTTGGGTTACCTTCTTTGTTAAGTTTCTGGATTTGGTGCTGATGTCCTTTTAAAACTTTTGGTTATCTGCTGGTTAATTGCTGTTGCTGCTTTTGATCACATTTTGACGGTTGTCGCTGCTGGTTAAAGGTTAGTCGTTACTTTGTTTGCTGCTGGTTAAAAGTAGCATTGCTTGCTGGGTTTTTCGTCTGCTGTTGGGTTCTTGGGTTCCTCGTTAGTATTAGGGGGACTGCTGTTAAGGGTCGTATTTTTTGCGGGGTTTTGCTGTTGTTTGCTGTTGAATTCCCCACGGTTGTTCAACCCTACTGTTTGGTTTTAGATTGGTGATCAAGATCACCCTCGGCTGCTGTTCGTTGGTCGGTTTTCTGCGGTTTGGTCAAAGGCTGTTAAGTCATATTGCTGGGTTGTTTCTCACCGAGTGTGGCTGCTGGTTTTTGTTTCCTTGCTGCATTGTTTGGCTGTGAGATAACAGTTCCTTTGGCTGTGTGTTGCTGCTGTTTTTTAGCTGCTGTTTGAGGGTCAGTTTGTTGCTGTCATTGCGGGTTATATTTTCCTGTTGTGGTTGAGTTGGGTTACGAGTTTGTTGCTGCTGTTTTTGTTGCCAAAGCGGTTGGCCGTTCGGTGGCTACGGACCTGAACTTTTACCCGCTGGCCGATAAAAATCAGGTGAGCGTGAAGATTCCGATTGAAATGGCCAAGGAGGCTGCGAAATCTTATAATTCGGTGCTCTATGGTTATTTTTTGGGCCCTCGCATTCCTTTTCCCTTGGTGCAAAATTTTTTCAAAGTTGCATGGGGAAAATATGGGTATTCTGACGCAATGTTGAACGAGAATGGTATATTCTTTTTCAAATTCAATGATGTAGGAGGGTGTGACCAGGTAGTCAGGCTGGCCCGTTAATGATCTGTGGATGCCTTTATTTGTCTATCGCTGGGATCCATCTAAGGGGCTACGGGAAACCGGAGCACATGTCTTGCCCTCTATGGGTGAAATTGCATAATATTCCATTGGTAGCCTTTAATAAGGAGAACGTTAGTCGTATTGCTAGTGTTTTGGGTGTACCGAAGCAAATGAATTCTTGTACGGCAGCCATATGTGATAAGGCTTGGGGACGTCCAGGTTTTGCAAAAGTACTGGTTGAGGTTTGGGTTGTGGGTGATCTTAAACGGCATATTGAGGTAGTGATTCCGAACCTCAACGGAGGGGAGGATGAAAAAGTAATTATCCAAGTGGAATATATTTGGGAGCCGATTCAATGCTCCCACTGCCATGTTTTTGGGCACAAAACATCGTCATGTGTGAAGGCCGTTAATCCGATTAAAGAAAAGCAAGTTGATGGGAGAAAAGATGTGGAGGGGTTCGTTAGGGTGGAGAAAAAACAATGGAGAGCCAAATCCGATGGTAATACTCATTCTTCGATTCCTCATTCTAAAAGCTCAAATGTGAAAACCGGTAGATCTAATCCGGCAATCATGGAAGCAAGCACTTCTAGGAGGAACCAGTCTGTGGAGCAGAATGTGGATCTAACAGCAGAAGAATCGTCTGGTCAATCTGACCAAGTTGTGAAAGCCGTCTCGAAGGGTCCAGGTAAGGGTACAGATGGGGTAGTCAAGCATGTGAGTTCTGGGACTTCTACTCAATCAAATGTTAAAACTGCCCCTCTTCTAGCTTCCATTGTCAAGTCTTTTTGACTGCCTCGGAGAGGGGTTCTAGGGAATTTAGGAGGGGAGGAGACTCAAGAGGGTATAGACAAAGAACCTGTTGCGAGTACATTGAATCTAGAAACTAGGGACCAATGGGTGGAGATTCAAAATACCCCCTCATGTTGAAATTCGCTTCTTGGAATATCCGGGGGCTCAACTCCCCGGTTAAGCAAACGGAGGTGAAAAGTTTAATCTATTGTATTGATTTAAGTTTATGTGCAATTCCAGATTCTCACGTTTCCAAGGACTTCCTTGAGAATGTTTGCTCTAGTACTTTTGGTCGTTGGTCTTGGATCTCCAACCAGATGGCGTGTGACTCGGGGACCCGTCTAATTCTTGCATGGGATTTATGGGTTCTAGATGTTATGATTCTTGAGGTCCATGAGCAATTCTTGAACTGCGAATTAAAATTTAGGGGTGACCAAGACCCTATCTTCTTTTACTTTGTCTATGGGGCAAATATTTGCAATGCTAGGAGGGAGTTATGGTCGGGTCTTTGGAAATTCAAAGTTTTGAATGGTTCTAAACCTTGGACTGTTATGGGTGACTTCAATGCCATGTTGTTTTCCCATGACAGTTTCGGGGGGTGCTCTCGCCGTAATACTGATATCTCGGATTTTTTTGCCTATGTGGAGGATGTTGAAGTCTTTGATTTACATTACACGGGTGTCCATTTTCACATGGAACCTATTAGTCCCTAATATGATCAATCTTCAACTAATCATCAAGAAATCCATGGCAGAGATGATATTCATTAAGAACACTATGAAGGAGATGAGAGAGAGAAAGTCAACAACCCAAATCTTGGTCAAACTGTATAAACGTATTATGATATTACAATTGAGTTCTTACCCAAAATTACAAGGTAACACCCTTTATATAGGGTCAAACATCAAGACAAAGTCAAAGTCAAACTATCTTATGAAAAGTCAAACACAATGACTTTAATACAATTATAGACAAAATTAACTTTAAAGACGAATACAATTTTACACTGATTTTCAGTCATAACATTCTCCCCCTTTGTATTCAGACTTGAAAGAATTTGCGTGCTTTGAGTCTCGTTTGAACTTTGATGCTTTAAACACACTATGTCTTCTTCAAAACAACCTTCAGCTCGAAATCTTCAGACAATCATTTGTTTGAGAAAGATCTTCTAACATTCTCCCCTCGAATGTAGAACCACAATGATCTTCTCTTTTGGCAATATAGATCAGAAACAATAGTGATCTTCAGAATTGATCTTCAACAAACTGTTGTAAAATTGATCTTCACATTCAACAACTCTCAGACATTATAGCACAAGAATAATCTTTTGTAATAATCTCCAGTCGCACTCCTTTTGAGTCTTTTGCCATAATTGAAGTTACTCCCCCTTGATCTTTACAACAAATTCCCCTAATAATGTTTGGAATTGGACATTTCATTCATTATTACATACTCCCTCTTATGATGAAATGAGAATCATTACATCATACACAAGAATAAATGAAATTTTTCGCGAAAGCCGTCAATTCATGAAATTGTAAATAGATCTTTTCAAATCCACTTGTTTAATCTTTTCAGATTAAGGGAATGGAAAGATAACAACCAATTTCAACGTATGAAATTGTTTTCAATCTTATAAAAAGATTGGCCTGTGAGTATAACAAATATACTCAGTACAACGAATGTACTGT